TATGTCTAGCATCTATAGAGGTACAAACGAAATTCCAGCTACTTAGCTGAAGCGCCTCTCAAGGTTATTAGCCAGCAAAGTTACTAGTTCATATATAAGGTAAACAATATGAAAGGGGTAAACTTTGCATCAACATTAGTGCAACTATGTAACACTACACTTAAACTGTGAGATAGTGAACCCGGCTTATGTAAGTTGCTTGGTTAACGTATCCTTCAGTTGGAAGAATGACGAACTCCTGCAAGGGCAATAAGGCTTTCCAAGTTTGAACATTGAAGGAATTTCGCAAGAATCAAGTGGAGCGTTGCTTTATTTTGATTGAAAATGATCACCAGATGTAAGCCCTACATCATTCAACGTTTCAAATAGCTATTCATGAAAAACTCAGATCGAAGTGATAAAACTATGCAAACGAGTCCGTATCCGCATATAAGAAGCATATCAACGAGTGGACCCTTACAATCTACAAAATATTTCGAATCCTTCAGCTGTATGGTGTGATCCAATGGCAAATATGATTGAGTTTCAATAACCGACTATCTACAGGACGCAGCCAGTAGCTGAGCAAGCAAAATAGCAAGAGTTTATCACAGCAGTAATGATACCAAGATCTAGGTCATGTCAGTACATCGACAATCCGGTGTGGCACATATAAAGGCAAAAAGCTACACCAGATGAAAAAGCTGTCAAAGAAAAAGCGGAGAGAACTAAATTAAAAAACTTGGTACAGCAATAACTAGATGAACTCCTGAGGCCATGCTATAAGACTAAGCAAAGTCGCTATGATACAAATTCGAGCAAAAAATCTGCGTCTGTTAAAAAAGCTGTCAAAGAGGCGAAAATGGAACGAACCGAAATTAAACCTCGCCACGAGAATTAGTTTCATGTTTGTCGGAGAGAAAAAGCGATGAAATTTTATCCGTTCTTTATTACGTTTGCAAAACGTTAGAGCAAATTAACTTTGGCGCTAGTCCTAATTAAAATAATTACTCTAGAGCGTCCGTTCCGGTTCCCGGAAAGCCCCGGAACATTATGTGCATTTATTGTGTAGACGTACAGATGGATTGGTCCTGTACGGTTCCTACTGCCAGTAGCTGCTTTAATTTCACTTGGTTCAATTAAAGTGATTGTTTGATGAAATTATTCACCAGAACAGTCGATCTTATGCAATATATTTCTTATAAGTACCTCAAACTGGACACGGGCATATCGTAGTTTTTTTAGTTTTCTTCAGGATATTTTGCCCATATGTGGACATGCTTTCTGAATCATATAAGTGATTAAAATGCATCGTTTGAGAAACTTGGGCAACTGTTCGGGAAATAGATATAACCGAAATATTCTTAGGGCTTACTAAGAATAAAGCAGTATTAAAATCGTAAGCGAATTATTTTTTGCGCATATTATTCTGTCTGTCTCATTTGTAGTGGTTCTGAACTGTTTATGTGCAGATACTGAACACCAAATAATAAAGCTATGTCACGAAGCCATCTTGTCATTTGCAGCAAGATGGGTTACGATTGATGATTTTGTACAAAAAGTCACCTATCATTGTTTTATATATAAAAGATATAACCAAACGAAGTCTTATTTATAGAGAGCAATGTTATACAAATGATTATAATATCTACATATTAGGGTGTAAGAATTGGAAAAAACGGCATATAAAATTTTTGTTTTATGAGGAGCTAGTTTAATATACCATGCACAAGTGAGGAAAACTGGATGATCTTTGAAATCGTTCATGACTAGCCCCATTTTATCGTTTCACAAGCACATTGCAGGTTAAATATAGAACAAATTTGGGGGCAACTTTGATATGATGACTAACCTTAGTAAATTTAACAACCGTAACAATTAAAATGTACTCTAAGCATATCCGATGAAGAGAAAACTATACAGCACCAAGAATGCTTCATAACACCATAGAAAAGACACAAAGTAATTCATTTATTCAATATGTGCGATTCTTTAGCATCCCTCTTTGAGTCATACACGACTGTTTTCACAAGATGGAAGAAATGCAATGCTAACGCACCTTTCAGGTGTTCATCATCCAGTCTTTTAGGAATAAGCATCAATAGACCAGAAGTACGAACGGGCATTGTATTGTGCCTTTTAATGAATAATTCATAGTTTCGGATATAATTCTTTCGAAGTTATTAGTTCCATCATCGAGCACTTGAGAGGAAAAATGTATAGAAAGAATCTTGGAAAGCAGCGCCAAAGAAAATCTACCACACCAACACTATCAATAACGTCCCATGTTTCCTATCATTACAAATTGCGAAATTGCAAAACGTGAATCATACATAATCTCAAATTTTTGTAGCACTTCAATTATGAATCTTTCACATGTAAGTGTTAAAAAAGAAACCTGATTCAGTTAGCTTTGGGAGATAAGAGATTCCAGCAATTTATTTGTCACGGAATACTTGCTTTCCAAGAAAACTGCAACTGCAGACCTACATACGTAAGCACCTGCTCGTCGAATTGTGCAATCAGCAGATCCCTTTTACTCATGCGTCAGTTGCAGCATTTCGTCCCCATGTGTGTCTACATATGAAAAACATTTCATCGACTTTATTTAAGAACTGAGACACCTCATAAAAATTATTCCGTAGGTTTACTTCTGATGCTGCAATTTTGGCAGCCGAGAATCTCGAATAGTGCTGGATTACATGTGTAATGTCTATCGGCACCGACCGGACGTATAATAAGCCATCAGGCATATCGAGGCTTCATCCACCCCCGAGCTTCAACCTCCTGCCACCTACCTCCCCATGCCTCCCAACCCCCATCATCATCGTAAAATCGACCTCGCATGCATCGGCTGTCCGGCTAATCCAACTGGTGGGCGAAGCTGCGTGAAATCGCACTAACGCGCACCGCGACAAGCTTGATGCACACATATATTTCACAGAGGCGGAGGTTAGGGGATACCTTAGCTCAAAAGTCACCCCTCTCTCAACTCAAGCTGAGGAAATGCAGAAAATATGATTATGCTAATACCTAGGGTTGCACGATCGCATGGTAGCTCCACCCAGGACTACATTTTAAGGGAGGTCTTCTACGTAACACTGTTTCCTCGAGGGCTTCATTAAAAAGATACGGGGTGTTGAAGTTTAAAAATAAAGAATAGTTTTTTCATCTCCAACACCGTCAACCGGAATAAACTAAAATTCGGTATGTGGATTTACCTAAGTATTGTCCACATTCAAAAGTCTTTACTCAAACGTAGCGTGCACCAGCTGCGGATATACAGGGGATTAGTGGCATTATTCATCCAGATAAAAATACTACGCATGCCATTGTTTTCTTTTTCGAAACGTCCAATTTTTCTAATTTTTTTTTGTAATTTTTTCATGGAGTGAATTGTTTTCGTAAAAATAAAAAAAACAAATTAGATAATCTATGCTTTATTTCACTAAGTGTTCAAAAATACCACCAGTCTGACGGATACAAGTGCGGCATCTTTTTAATAAAGAATAACGTGTTTCCAGAAAATTTGTTGTGGCTTGAATTTGATAACGCCCCACAAAAAGCAATTCAAGGGGTTCAAAACAGAAGACCTCGCAGGCCAATGTACGGGTCCGTTTCTGCTAATCCAGCGTTGTCTAAAATGCTTATTTAACCATGCAGTTATGTCACGACGAACATGCGGTGGGGCACCGTCGTGGTGATACCATATTCGTACTCTCATTGCTCACGGAACATCATCTAATTTTCTAAGAAATTCTCTAGAAAAGCTGAATATGAGTCTGCATTTAGAAACGTTGTGGCAATACGTGCATAAACAGTTGGCCATTGAAAATTGCGCACCATTTCTAGAAAATATGTGTTGTAACGAGTGGATTCTTACAAAACTAGAATTTTCTAACGACCAAATATGTTCATTATGAGAATTAAAGGTTCCACTTCAAGTTTTGATTATACATTTGCAGTAACCACTCACAAAAATTTCACCGTTGCACTTCTTCGCCGGGTTGCAGAAATTGCACATTTTGCCGATGGTAAGGATGTAAAACCTGTTGGTTTAAAATTCTCCATGCAGGACTTTGAGAATATGGTAACTGGGCTACAATCCGCCTAGTACTTGTGCTAGGATCATCCCATGCCAAATTAATCACTTCCAGTTCCTTTTGAATGGCACCATGGCCTCTAACTCCGGGAAGTTTGGCAACTCCATGTCGCCAAAGTCTTAGACATGAACGCGTAAAAACCTTTGGGGTAGGTTGGCGTATGATAGGAAATCTACGTTGACACTCCCGAGAAGCCCCTAATAGTAATAACCGTATAACATATAACTTTGGCAAACTATCTCCATAGAAACATCAAGTTGGTATCAAGGCCACTTATTTTATTTTGAAACTAATTGTATCTCGGCCCTTCATGAATCATCTAATTTGTTTTATTTTTTATTTTTACGCATACAGTGCACACTAGAGAAAAAACAAAAGTACTTAATTATTTGTAGCGAATTGAAGGTGAAGTTCGAAAAATTGTGCGTTTCGAAAAAAAAAAAAACAGTTTCGTACTACTTTTATTTGGAAAAATAATCCCACTAATCCCCTGTATCTCCGCCACTGTATCTTCGTCTGGCAACGGCATTGTCAGCAACCATTGAGCAGCTGGCCAGATTGTCGTCGCCTTGGTGAAAAGGCTTGTACTTGAATACTTAGTCGAGTGGTCGTCAAGTTGCAGTTGCCAGTTACTTACCATAAAAATGGACCCTTGAACTAACAACACAATGAGCATCAAAACTTGATGTCGAGCCTAAGAACTCTTGAACGAAAGTCACAATTTTTGAGCTCTCTGTTTTATAGATGCCTTCTCTAGAACTTCTGGATCTTCATATACAAAACACTCACATTGAAAGCGGATTGAAGCTTCATCCTTTTCCCAGCACTTGGAGCGGATTGGGTCAGTATTTCCATGAGGGATATGTATCTGTTTTTTCTGTGGTGGCTGGTGAACATGCCAGCCTGAAGATTGAGTTGCTCTACCTTTGTCCAAAACTCACACTTAAATCTCTGCTTGAATTTCTGGCCGTGCTTAGCAATGCTTTCACCAGTTCCCTGTGTAGTAATCTGGAAGTTATTTTTAAATTACAGAAATCAATGAATGTCCTTTACCCCTGAACCATGTGATCCATTAAGATTCTTTTTTTTAGTTGAAAGATCCAATCACACGCTTAATGATTATTTCATAGACTCTATTCCCGTCAATAAGGTTAATGACTGCTTACGGACATTCTGTAACACAAATCATCTTTCCCTGCAGTTCAACCGTTTAGCTTTAAATTTGTTACTAAAGAAAATGTTTTGGAATATTATTTTTAAAATTAAGTCATGTGCAAAGGGTCTGGATGGCATAAACTTAGGCCCGTATCGTCAGTCGTCAATACAATTGTAGGACGCGTTTATGGCCTCCTTGATTGTCATACTCCTTTCTCTCCTTCAAAAATTTCTAGATTGCACCCGTCCCGTGTCAGCGTCAGCGCTCTCCTATTGTAAAGATATGTTTTCTTTTGAAATTGTAGGAAATTTCAGGCTGATAAAACATGATGTAACTCAAAAGCAAGCAAAATTTGATGCAAATAGATGTTTGTGACATAACCTCAAAATAGAGTTCTGACACTGAGAAGTAGAAAATTATGACAATCAAGGAGGCCATAAAGGCGCCCTACAATTGTAGGGACGACTGACGATATGGGCCTTAGATCTTTTGATTCCCTTAATTCCATCCTGTATCGATGCATTAATACACATTATAAATTTTTCATTAGAAAAAGGTGTCGTGCCGAGTCTATGGAAAGCCGCTATGGTTAGACCTCTTGCAAAAATTGATGATCCGATACCACCTGGTAATTTCAGGCCTATTAGTATACTGCCATTCCTATCTAAAATTCTGGAAAGAATTGTCTATGAGCAAATGCTAGGACACATAAATAAAAACAGTTTGATTCCAAATGTTCAGTCGGGGTTTCGAAAACGTCACAGTACGGTTACCATTTTGATTCAAATATGTGATGACTATATCAGGGCTATGGATAAATATTGTGTCACAACGCCAATTCTAGTTGATCTCAGCAAAGCTTTCGATTCTGTCAATCATGAATTGGTTCTTGCTAAGCTGCATTATCTTGACTTTTCTGATAGTACTGTTACTTGGTTTAGGAGTTACTTGCACAAGCAGTCACAGCTAGTCAATGTAGGCGGCTGTAAGTCCGATAAGCGTGCTATTTTTAAGGGGTACCGCAGGGCTCCATACTTGGCCCGATTTTGTTTACTTTGTATACGTCCGATCTAAGTCGTGATACTAAATATTGTTCTTTTCAGTCTTACGCTGATGATACCAACTGTATTTGTCTTACCACCCTTCCGATTGCCTGGAGGCAAACAGGAGAATGTCTTGTGATCTAGATCGTGTTGCAAAGTGGTATAACGATCACGGGTTACTTATCAATTCAAACAAATCTGCTGTGACAACTATTAAGTCCATACAAAGTAATTTCGATAGTAACTCGATAGAATTGCACTTGGAAGGTGGAGACTTGCCTCATCTAAAATCCCTGAAAAATTTAGGAGTAGTAGTGGATGAACATCTCACGTTTACCGATCACGTTTCCAGAGTTGTGCAAAATTCATTTGCTAAACTGAAGACAATTTACAGTTTTAAACATGTATTATCTAGTCAAACCAAGATCAAGCTTTGCAACTCTTTGATTATCAGCAAGGTCGAATACGCTGATGCGGTGTATGGTCCATGTCTGACGCAGTCGGAAGCTTATAGGATACAAAAAGTGCAAAATAGTTGTATCAGGTATGCATTAGGTGTTCCGAGAAGGGAACACATTACTAGATACATTAAAGATGTCATCTGGCTCACGATGCATCAGAGATGGATTGTACACTTGTTGGTCAGATAGTCCTATTAACCAAATATCCTGCATATCTGAGCAGCAAACTTTCATTCAGAAGTCAGCATCACTCGGCGAACTTACGCTTTGTAGGTTATACCCTCGATATGCCCCCCATAAATCAACACAATTCACAGTGCTTCTCATATATAGCGCTTTCCCTTTATAATTGTCTATCATCAGATCTGAAAAGTTTGAGTAAGAATAATCAAAAAGTTAAAATAAAGCAATTTGTTCTCGATAATACCTAATTCTATACTAAGCGTTCATCTTGTAACTGCTGTGATTCTACATTATGTGTCTGGTTGCGTTACATGTAACTTTATCATCTACTGATCTTTACGTGAATGCCTCTTACTTGTGATTACGTAGCTAGGTGGTACTTATTTCTTGTTCTTTTTTATGTTTTTTAATATATTTCCTTTTTTTTCGTTATTTCTGTTTCAGTGAGTGCGTGAGTGTATCTGATTTAAATCTGTCTACACAGTTCACACACTATTATGTTGTATTTGTCACTTCTCAGTACTATATGTCTTGATCATTATTTTTTTTGTATCTGTGATGTTTGTTACGCTTATGTAGCCCTGGTTGGTACCAAAAGCAGCTATTAGCTGATATACCCGCCAGGTAAAATAAAGGCATATTATTATTATTGTTATATATTATATCCGTGAAGACGTAACAGTTGCATGTCAAACCAGTGGTTTTAGTATAAAGAATGGTTGAGTGCTAAACTAGACTTTAAAGCGTATATCATTATCTTCAACGATAGATACGGCGAGAATTCCGCACTTTTTCCCTAGCGAGTGATTCGAAGAGCGATTCTTCTATCAGTACTCAGAAGTATAGTTCGCCGAAAGGTTAGAAAGCCACGCCCATTTGCTCTTAGTTATTTTTCTTCCTAATTTCAAAAACTAACCTCCAACGTTGTATCCCTTATCCTCGGTTCTGAACTAATACGGTTGTTGCTAGGTGGCGTCCTATTGACACGAGGATCGAATTCTGAGAACGCCACTGGTAACGTGTTTGAACGCACATGATTGAGTTAAACCGCTAAGGTTGTCGATACCCTTACATCTGCTGCTCCACCTTCAAGTAACCCAGTAACGCGTAAACGTGTTACTCCCTATTAACTCGGCAGCTTGCTTGTAATAAGCCAAAGCACGGTTTCCTATCATGAGTGCTATTTGAGTAAACTGATGAAACAGACTACTCGGTGTCAATTATCGTCGATATGTCAGATCACAAAGTGGTGCATGAAGTCAATTCCTCAATAATCAGATGCCGTGTAATACTACCTACAAGAGATGTGCAGCCTTTAAAGGGAAAAGGTGTTGAATAGCGCTGAGAGCTAGGAAGTTCAAATCGATTCGCGATCGACCAGACTCCTCATGCAAGAGAGCACGTTGAACTTAACATAAAAAACATAAGTGTATCGTACTAATGCTGACTAAGTGTAAAGCTGTCAAAAACAGCAGATGAACTTACACCACAGATACAAGAGCCTCCACAGTCACCACAGTTCATGTCTTGTTGGATGCCACTACTCTTGTGGGATTACGTCTTATCCCACGGTGCAAATTCACCCCCTTTTAACAAGGACGGTACTGCCAATTTCACACAAAACAATGGTTTATGAAATTGCACGTTCAAAGGTGCTGATTTTAAAAGAAAAACTGAGGCGAATTTTTGGTTCAGCTCATCGCAGTAGGAGTGTTTCCTCAGCTTACACAGTCTTGTTGGATCATCATCACCACCGCTCATTGGGGATCGGGACGGTACGGACAAGTTTCTAAAAAGAAATGATTGAAGGAAATGGTAGATTTTTCTCGTTTCGTGTTCTTGAAAGATATCACTTTCAAAACACAGAGCAGAGTTCCTTTTTTATTCTGATTTTCGCGGTGGGATGAATGAATGTATCAAATGAAATTTAGAGGAATTGCTACAACCAAGAGGAGCCAGCAAATATTCAGGGCATCGTTGCACCTCTATTTTCTCTATGCCCCAAGTCCTGCTATTCTGGCGAAGTTCAAGTTTGAGCTCCAACTCCCTGCTTGAGTATCCCAGCACGTCGCAGCGACAAAGAACATGTGCCAAGGACTCGTTGTCTACCCCGTAGCACTCAGACATGGGATCCTCAGCCCAACGTATTACGACCGGACCATTTATGTTGTCTCTTTCGAGAGTAAAAATCTCCATCCTTATAACTAAGCCCGTGTTTAAAGGAGCTCTCTAGCTTCCTTATTTCATGACATATCTTCACAGGTGCTGGCTTCACAATATAAACCAAGCAGAGTGTTTTGTTCCTTATCATTGCGGTGAGAGCGTTTCCGCATGTGGCACAGTCCATATCTTGTCGGGTGTCACCACTCATCTGGGATCACGTCTTATCCTTCGGTACAAATCCAGCCAGAGGGCTTATTCCTCCTCTGAAAGGCTCTTTGGCTTTGATTACACCTTTTAGAAACGACGGCACCGCCAATTTCCCTAATCCCTCGTCGTCGACCGAGCCTTCGTACGGTCCTCTTTTTTCCCTGTAACGAAATTAATTATTGAATAATTCTCAAGAACTCTTTCTGAGCGGATTGTCCGTGAGCGTAGCCTGCCACGGCCGCAAATTCGTCGTCCGATTTCCCCATCTAGACCCTTTTACCTCCTCTACATTATGTAGGGACGGTGTGAGACCCTCGCCGCCTAATCGGGTTTAGCGGGATGCAGAGAGAGGACACTGAATCACTGGGATGCGCCTCCAGGCCTCATAGCTAGGGAGAATATTGACGGGTATAAATACAGAGTGTTCATACTCTGAAATCTGACAAAAATACAGTGTGTCCTCATAGTTGTCAGAGTGCTTAAGTCAAGCATTAATAAGTAAGTTCTCATAGCACGAAGCCGAGATATTAACGTCCTAAAAACTCTAATTAGGCCAGCCCGACCCTGCCTCTGTCCCCTCCTACGTCAAAAGGCACGAGGTTTTGTGGTAGTATGTGAGTCAGCGCCAGGATCCGCCGCGCGTTTACCTATTTTAAAACAAATTGCATTTGAAAAACCAAAATTGGCACATTCCTACAGCAATATCGCAGCTATCGATTCCAGGTGAGCATCTTCAAGATTCTATTGATGCGAGTACTTTGCGAAGGTATTCAGTACTTCGTCCTCGATTTTTTCATTCCAGCTGCATAGGTTTGTTTATATCATGCAAAAGCTACCTGAGACACAATAGAAAACCTAGACAGCTCCAAATATTGGAAATTTTAGAAGAAATAAGCAAGCTCATATTTTTTAATAGAACGGCAACTACTTCAAGCAGTGTTTACAAATAGATCATGTGACAGGGCAGTACTGGAAATTCCTTACCAAATAAATGATAAATATTTTTTTCAATTCTTTTTTTACGTTTTCGGTGCTCCTTACCGCCAATTAGGTTTGTTATTTGAAATTTAGTTTTTCTTGGAAAGGAATGTGTCAGCTTTCCGAGCATCCCTGTATTTCTATTTCTAATTGAAAGAGCATGAAAAAAGTTTGCACTATATAATAATAAATAAACCGCCTTGTAATCCCTATAATGAAATTAGTGAGCAGTTTAATGGCAAAGTTTCGCTATAACAGACTTTCTTAAAGGATAATGATTCGGCACATGTTCAAATTGTCTTAAACTAAACATAAATCTTATGCAGTTATTTTTTACAACAGATATTCTGTTACGACTCGCAACTTCTAAACAAGGATGATAAGCTATATTACAATAATTAAAAATTGATAACAGAAAAGATTCACATAACTTTTTTCGCATTCAGACAAATTTCTGTTCGCATTCAGGGTTCTTAGACGGATATAAGTTCTTTGTACGGGGATATTCAGATTCACCAACCCGCACATTTTCAGCGATTAACACAGCTAGGTACTTGACACTTTTTTTGAGATTCTCGTTATTCGTACAATAAAGAAGCTTTGTTGTTAAGTTCTTATTAGGTGAGTAGGTGCAAATGGAGTCAACGTAATGGATAATTTCCACAGTTGCATTCTGAGGGTCCTCGGGGTTAAAAGAGGTAGGGCAGTTGAGTGCTATCCGGACATGACTGTAGCTGTGAATTTTGAACAGACTTAGCAATATCGGCTACATAAATTAAAAGTGTCATAGGGCTTAAAATTGAGCCCTTAGTCACACCAGAAGTAATAAATTGCTCATTTGACAAAAGCTCCAGAAACTGTCACCTGAGACCAGCAGGTTGGTTTTGATTAATGAAAGTGCCCTGCTATTTTATAAAAACAGTTGTAGTATGTACGCTTTTCTAACCCTGACTAATGTACAGGGATAACCTTACTCTACTCCAAAAGATTTGCAAATAAATTATTCTCTCGAAGATCTTTGACAAAATGCTCAACAGACTGATGGGCCTGAGATCCGGAAATCGGCAGAATTCCTGTCGTTACTACTGCTCGTCTCCAAGATCTAGGAAAGTAGCCCTTCTCCAGACACAGACTGACAATATGGGTCGATTGTGGTAGTATATAGGGAGGAACAACAGGACCACTGACAACAGTTTTGATAGTGCTAGGCTCAACCAGAATTTAGGAAAATCTGTGGTTGACGAACTAGTTATTATTATGAAAGTTAAATGTTGCTTCGTCTGATTGAGCAGAAAGAAACATTGATGCAAAATAATCGTTTATAGCGTTTGGATCGTTGAGTTGAGACGGTTTACCTTCAGTTTTCGTCTTATACTCGCCGATGTTCTTGCAACACGAATCTGTCACAGGGTGGATCTAAACGTCCTCCAACTTTATTTGACTTTTCACGGATGATTTTTAAATACAGCTTCGACGCCAAAACTTGCTACATTACAAGACATTGTGCTAGCCAAACACACCCCAGATACACTGTTTCAGTCTACAAATTACAACACAACGAACGACATGAACGATGATTAACAAATGTATCTGTCAAGTAAGGGGTGACACTATTATTTTTAATAAAATGATCAGCAATTTCTGTTGTACCAATCTAATGTATCAAATTTGATCCACGGTTCGAGCAGCTTATTCAAAACTGATAACTTATGGAATAAATCATCAGAGGATCACAATATTTTGATTTTAGAATTATTCGCGACTACATACCCGTAGATTTGTGCAAGAAATTTAATACCAGTTGAAATCTTATCTTCAGCTATATAAATTACTTGATATAAGTCGGATTTTGTTTGAGCTAGCTTAAGAGTGAAGAGTTGAGCCACATTAATCTGCTTTTAAAAATTGATGTCGGCATTACCAAAAAAGTTTTGAAAGCATTAAGGTAATCCGTGCAGGCCACCTTAAAATGCGTGAGCTTAACATAAAGCTTTAGAGATTACTGTTTCATGAAAATGGACGGGAGACACAACAAAAAATGCAGCAACTAGGCTGCATGCATGTATTTAATACCAACCAGTGTTAACCCATTATGTGCTTTTAGTTGCATTTGGCTTAGCGAGTGCATATTTATGTTTCTGGCTTAGAGAAACTAGAATATAGCGAACAATAATGAGATTAATTTAAAAATATGTATTGTTTGTTTAACTTTCAAGACGGTAGTGGTAGAAGCTAGGTATCTTCTAATCAGTCGCCGTGATCTGCGTGGGTTCGAATCCCGCCCCAAGCGACTCTTGCTGTTGGCTATAGAGGTCGTGATATCAGTAGGAGTTAGTCAGACTCTGACTGCCCAACGTGGAGGTACCACCCGGCGGATCTCTATGGCGGAACCAGAATGTGTTTATCAGTAGAGTCGGTGTGGCGCTCTTACTTTCCCCTCTATCACTATAATGTAGTTCGACGGTTTCCACGAGTGTTTGTGACTCAGACCTTTGTAGTGGTCCAAATAAAGGGTGAGCCATCCGTTGGTTTCTTCTTTAAATTAGTATTAAAACTTCACTAGTTCAATAATATGTAACACTCGATACTTTATTCAAAGAAATACACCTTCCGATTATTTATAAAAATTCAGTTAAATGGCTGCCGCGGCTGGCCTGGCAGTAGTCCATCCTCTTGACCCAATTTTGAAGCACATTTTCGATAATCTGTGGGTTTATTTCATCAATAGCTCGACGGAAATTTTTCTTAAGAACATCAATTGTTTGAGGATCGTTAATGTAACAGCGGTCCTTAACAGTACCCCCATAGGAAGTAAACCATGGGCGTCAAATCACAGCTGCGGGCTGACCAATTAAAGTCTGATCACGCGATGACCGGACTATGTGTGTAAAAGATCGAATGTTTCACGACTGGCATGGCATTGTGCGACATCCTGCTGGAAGCAGAGATTGTGCAAGTGCATGTCGTCTAATATTGGCCACAAAAAACTTCTGAACATGTCACTATAGCGTTTCCCGTTTACCGCTTCGCTGTTACCATCTTCATCTTGAAAAAAGTAGGGACCAATAATCCCACTACTTCAAAAGCCACACCAAACAGTTACTTTTTTGGATGCATTGGTTTTTCTATGCCGACATGTGGATTTTCAGAACCCCAAATTCTACAGTTCTGCTTGACGTAACCTCCCAGATGGAAATGGGCTTCGTCCGAAAAGATGATTTAGCGACCAAAAATGAATTCCGATTCCAATTGACTTAGAGCCCAGACAGAGAAACGATATCGAAGCGAATGGTCATTTTGTTTCAACTCTTGCACAAGTTGCACCTTGTAAAAAATAAACCCAGTTCGGTATGCAATATTCTCCACACAGAAGTGCTCTGTGACGAGTCGATATTCTTGCGTTTTCAGGCACACTCTGGGCAACAGCAGCAATGTTTTCGGCTGTACGTACGAGTCGAACACGCTCATACCTTCTGTTATCCACAAGGAGGCTAGCTTCATGAACCTTATTCACGAATTTTCGTATACCAGGCGCGGACGGAGCTTCATTCCGACCAAATACTCTTCTCAATTTTCGCAAAGTTTCTGCAACACAACACTCAGTTTGAAAATAGTTTTTTAATATTTCTCACCTTTGTTTAAGGTTAAAACGATGCGTTGCTTAAGTTTGACACAATATATCTGTCAATATGTTGAGCATGGAAGTGTTACCAACTGTCAAAATAATATCCACTTAAAAAAACCTACTGATGGCCCACGCTTAATAAGAAAAATGATGAGTCGCCAAGATGGATACCACTTTTATAATATATAATATATATAATAATTCAAGTCAATGCTTGGTCCAGTTCAGATGGGCTTATTACCATAAACAAGAAAAAAGTATATAAGTTCGTATATAGCTGGAGTGACAGTTTATTTAACAAGGGATTGTAGATCGGCAAGTTTCTCAACTCCACTCCGCATATACGTACATGTTCCCACGTAAGATACGCCAACTTGATAGGCGAGAGTTGGACTTCCGTTTAGTGTTTACGCTAGACGCATGCATAATTCAGTTAAAGTGGGCCGTGATTCAAATCAGCCCAGCAAATATTATCTGAGCAAACATTGTCTCATTAATAAGGCGAACCTCGCGGTAGCGCCCGTCTGGCAATTTCCCTTTTGAGGACATTGATTGAGGCGGCTGGTCGTCGCTAGCCTCGGATGTTAATAAGTAAGTCGTGCTAACGTATTGCCTGTCTGGTTGGGACTTTGCTTGTTGCGGTTTCACCGTGAACAGGTTCTGACGTGTTATCACGTAGTCGGTTAAATATCAAGCACTAACACACAAAATCAACTGCATTCAATTTTGGAATTATGAGAGAAGTGCAGTATGCACCTATAATAGAACACAAAAGATAGAACTCCATGATTTACTGACCAAATAGACCACATAATGTATGAATTACTCTTAATGGACGCTTGAGCCATCACTTTGGCCACTTTTAAAGTATCAACAATGACACTGACAATACAGTTTATACAGGGTGCGGCAAGAGGCCTGCCCGTTTTTGCCGGCGTACTATTAAGCGTGTAGGTGGTGGAGTATGGCGGGGATAGGCAAGTTTCTGAGTCCACTTGTGGACATTTCTAGTAGCCATGGTGCACTCAGTGGTCAGGTGAACAGCGTGCGTTTGTTATTGATCCTTTAGTGGAGAGTTCTGCGTTGCTCGTCATTTCCAGCTCTGTAGGCTCTTCAATGATGGCCCAGTAGCTATTGTTCGACTACAAATCCTGAAGTACTGCATAAGTGTCCTCTGCATAATCCTAAGGTTACTGTATGCTGTGGTGTAACAAAAAGTGGTGTCATCGGGCCTTACTTTTTTGAAGAGAGTGGTCGAACACTTACAGCCAGTTCCCAACGTTATCTGTTGGTGCTTAAAAGTAACCTCAGAGAAATCGTTTAGTGCATAGGAAGATGAAGTTCAAGCAGCACTTTTTGAGAAGTAAGTTGTCTCGCATTTTGGGCACACTGCATGGCCACCTCGCTACCCAGACCTTAGCATTTGTAATTTTTACTTGTGGAGAGTTGCTGAAACCTAAAGCTTACACAAACAAACCCCGCACGCTGGACGAAGTTGAAGAAGCCATAAGCCACGACATCGACAACCTGTCTCCTAAAATGTTACAGTGTTCAAAAACACCAGACTTGTCAAAGAAGGACATTATTTGAAGTATTTTCAGATCTTAGATGTATGAAATCAGGTTTTCTGATGTTGTTTTTGTTAATTTAGATGAACACCCTCCGATATTTGTATCCTTTAGCTTTTGTCTTGTTTTGATTTTAAAACCGTCAGATCCTTTTGCAGCGCTCTTTGTCTTCCAGTTGAAAGTTTACTTGCTTTCTTCTTATCTTCGCCACTCTGTAGTGTGCTCAGCAACTGTTTTTTAGCACGCTGACGTTGCACGAAGTCATAATTGCAATTTTAAGATGGCACCTTGTGGAAGCAACAAGGCCCAGAAACACGTAGTAAGTCATTTAGAAAATATGTCCAGTCCTCCAAAAGCTACAAGCGAGCCTGAGGATATCTTTTGTTTTTGATGTACCAGACACGATACCCCTGCTCAAACAATGCATCGATACCTCAAGGGCACCATGCTCTTTGTCTTGTGAGGAAACAATATAACACACAACAGTTTAGAAATCGAATTCAAATCATAAGAAAACAGCTAAAACGTATGGCCCACCAGTCAGTTTGGTAAATATAAATTAAATCTTTCATTCAAGGATACTTAGCCAAATCGGTTCATAATCCACAGAATGACTAGAAACGCAATTGTTTGATATTACATAAGCAGATTTGACTATTAAATCGTGGAGTTCTATCAACATAACTACAAAATGAAGTTCAGGCATTACCGGACTACGAAAGACTTAATGTCTTGGATAATATACCAATATTAGATAAGCTCATGAGCCTTCAGCATTTATCAATAAGGCCTTGACTTATTATTCAAGATAATTCCAAACTTACGGAACCTGGAGCTAATACATGTCATCAGGAAAGCTTACTCAACGATATATTACAGAAAAATACCCAATAATTCGTGATTTTAAGAATCAAATGGAATATAAAGTAGTGGGTCAACGACTTTGACCTCCCTCCGGTAAACAAATATCAAGTTGTACCATTAGCAACGAGTCACACTGCGAACTACCGTGAGGGGCTGAAGTTTGTGGAAGTTTCAGCAAGAAATATCCCGCATGATAAGACGGAAAAGTTTAAGTGCACACTTGGACCCGTTCCAGACAAATTAAAAATAATTGTGTGGCATAAAATTTCATTGTGCACTGCTCGGGTGAGGTTTACGAGTAAAAGCGTAGGTAGCCAGGTTGTTTATCTTTGAAGATGTCTTGAGGCAACTATCAACACACGTAAAGGATGGTATCAAATAGATTCCAGGAAAAATATTTATTGCGATTTCTTTAGTCTACTCGTGGATAGCTTCATTTATGTCACGATTTGCAAAACTGACTTCTCTAATTTACGAGTATATACAGTAACCATGAAAACTCAACTCAAACTCAAATTAGTTGCTGTTTAGTTGGCATCACCTGAAATATACAAACACCACGGAACACCACTATTGTCTGTTTCCGTCTGTAGCCTGCCAGGCAATTATTTGCTCCTCCATAATTCGGAAGATACTGCTCAGATTTTGATGAAATTTTGGAATAAGCATGCTAGGGTCCCAGTTTTGAATTATGGTCTAATGAAGTTATTTTCGAAAAATGAAAAATTTTTGGAGAGAATTGTTGAGTGTTCGCTGAAATGTATATCACGAAAAACCATATCACTCATTCCTGTCGGTCTATATGTCTGTCTGTCTACCCTCTGACCCTTGACCAAGTTATAGATGTTGTCCTGTGCCGAAATCACGTAACCTTTTTTTTACTACTTTGGTCACTTACTAGTAATTTAAATTTGTCTTTATTAATGGTAAAGTGCCCATTCCTAGGCTTAACCCTTTTTAATGATTTTCTTCTGGTAAATTTAATATTTTATTGATTGTATAGTTTCAGACGTATTATATCTTCCTTATGGGATTTTAATCTTCAGCGTGCGAAGGCATTGCGGAGAAACACCACACACTCCTCCAGCTTTGTTTGTAGCTGTTTTGCAGCCGGTATTGCCGGAAGCCACCTCTTCCCCTTAGCAAAAAGAACTCTGTAACTTGGAAAACACCGGTCGGATGCTGATGAAACTTTCATATAAGGTTACTACTATGCCAAAGACAAAAAGGCTTTGCAGCCTTCGAAAATCGCTTCAGTGGCATTGGAGAAAACGGCCGAAAACTAGAAAAATCAAAATGATCCGTTTTTTGAAGTCTTACGGAGACCTGATCATTTTCAGAAAAGCTTTTGTACTATGGAGGTAGAGGGTTGTAAGGTGAGCGGAAGGGTATATTAATTTTGTTTATCCTAATATAATAATAATAATAATAAAGGGTCTTTATTGCACTAAACATTTAGTACATTACGAGGGGCGAGGATTAGCGTGAGCTATTCTTCCACCTAACCCCGTTTTGATAATTTATACGAAATTACATAGAAATGGATGACATTAACTATGGTACATACATTTAAATCAGTTTGTTTTGTACCAACAAAACTGTGATCAAAGGGATTTTTTTTAAAATCAACCATCATTAACCAATAAAAAAAATATAAGTGGGAATTCATGTTTGCGAGAGAAGATCGGACTTCAATTTTAATTCAAAAGTTTTAATATTCGCAATATTTTTAAAATGAAAATTAATACTGTTGTAATATTTAACGGCATTGTAAATAAAGAAAGCCTGATGCCTTGTGTTAATATTATGCGTGCTGGATCTGGTAATAAATTTTTCAAACAGGTATGGGGGTGATGCGGATAGTAAAATACGATGCACAGAACTTATAACAGAATATTTGTATAGATTATCTATAGTTATATATTTGTACGCTCCCAACCACGGTAATGCCATGCAAGATAACTCGCTGCAGAGATGCCGCGCAGATGTTGAAAGGGACAATGTTGCCACATGGGAGGACGGCTTTCAGTAGGACAGTGAAAAAATGTCCATCAAGCAATTATATGGGCATGTTTGACTGACTTAATATATTCAACTTCTCTGTTATACATGTGCGTAACTGACTTTTGTCTCAGAGGATTTTAATTTCGCTGAACTCAATCCTTTATGAACTGATGACGGCGTTGCGTAGGCAGTGTATGGTCAACTCACTTGATGCCACTTTTTGAGCTCTTGATTATGGTATATTTTGGCGTTTTTCAACTGTCTGGTCAAAGGTAATTTAAGGAGCTCACAATTTCTGGAGTTGTGTGCTTGTAGCAAGGGTGGTAAGTAAATTTATGCTAATCCGTGGAAAGTACTTAAGCCGTCAAAGACAGCTGACTGAGACGAATCTAGATTTCATGATGATTCGGAGAACAACTCATATGGTTGTATCCAGTGATTCGCAGAATAAAAGCAGCAAAATACTTTCCAATAGAATATCACATAAACTGATACTATGCTGCTCTTCACCCCATCGACCAAGTACTACATTTCACGCTACACTTTATTTGAGTACATCACATCACAGACATGAGCTTTGTTCCCACTATAGTATATCAACATGAAACTCGGCATTGCATATTGACAAAAACGGCGTAGGGTCGGCCGGGTATAGCGTATACCTAGATATTTGAACGGCCGTTTTAATCTGTCGGTCAGTCATGCAGAGGTAATACCTTCACCAAACATTCGGACGCGATTTGAACCGAAAACACGGCCTGGAAACACACCACCCAGTCAGTCTGTATGTACGTGTGCATGTGTGCGACCGGCAACCGAGATTGCAACGAAAAAACAAATATGACAAGCTACTCCGCAATGTGATCGAACACACACCATGCCGTGGTGCCTCCATTATAGCGAAATTCTCATTTGGATTGACAAATATCAAGTAATGGAATTACCAGTTGATGAGATTACTCTTCGAACATTAGATATTACACATGGTTGTTGTGCGTATTGGAAAGATTGCCTCTAAATCAAAACCAACTCACATTGATGTGGTACCGATACAGCAAATACTTCTATGGATGAAGATCTTTTAAAAAATAGAATGACCCATGCATCTTCATTTGAGTAAGTAATGTACTTCTCGGTTTGATAAGCTTGCGCCTATTCTATCCTCGGATGCCTCTTCATTGCAGACCATGCTATCACTTTACCTTTGTTGACCACCCTATACTCGTCCGATCGCTCCGTAATTTGTCTCTTGCTATTCTTACTAAGCCTGTTTTCTTCCATCCCACTTATCTGGTTGTGCCCTTCTTCTTACTTACCAAGCCTGCTTGTCGGGAAGTACTGTAGTCCTGAAAATTTTCGTATATAATAATTATAATAATAAAACGTCTTTATTGGGCGAAGTTTAGCATAAGCTATTCTACCACCGGTAAAATATCCATCCAAAAAAATATATACCAACCACTACAATGCAAAGTTTCAACATAAAAAGGTAAATTAATTGAGTAAAACACAGGTAAATCAAGATTGGATAAAAGTATAACATTATACATACATATTGGTGCATATATTATAAGCAGAAGTAAGAGATACGTTTATGTAAATGATTGCTCGAAAATTACGTTTCTTAAATAATTTTTGAAATTCTCGAAATTTAAAGTTTTAGTATCAGAGAGTAAAGCGTTGTACATGATAGTAGCATTATAAGTAAAACATTTAGTAAAAAATGAAGTTCTGTGAGGAGCAATTGTTATTTTATCAATAAAGCGAATATCTCGTGAGTGCATAGAACCACGAAATTTTAACTTATCTTTCAAAAATGGGGGAATTGAGGTAAGTAAAAGCTAGTGAATATAACATATTAAATGTAATTTAAATAGATTAGGAATAGATAACCATTCCAATTTTATTAACGAGGAGGTAAGGTGGTCATATTTTTTCAAGTTACAGATTAATCTGCAACATGAATTTTGAATTTTTTGTAAGCGCTTGGCAGATACTGAATCTAAAAACGGATGATAAACAATTTAGCAGTATGTAATTTTTGAAATAATGAATGAGTCAGAGAGAATTTTTTTAGTTTTTATAATCGAGAATTTATTTGTTCAAGTATAATTGCTGAAGTATTAGAAAACAACTTTTTGTAACATTGTTCACATGAGGGATAAAATTCAGATATCCATCAAGAGATATGCCTAGATTTTTTTCAGTTTCACATACTTTTATAATTTCACCATTTAATGGTATTGTCGAATATTTCTTAATTTGATTTCTAATTTTTTTAGGAGTGAATATAAATACTTTTGATTTCTCTGAATTTAATTAAGATTATGAATTTTTGCATACCTGTCGATAGACCTCAAGTCTTCATTAATTTGAGCCTCAGCGATTCTATATTGGCAGTATTAAAATTATTGTATAACTGCGAGTGATCTGCAAAAAACTGAATTTTTCAGTGTTTAATAGCCTTACAAGATCGGAGATATATAAAATAAAAAGAAGTGGCCCAAGAACCGACCCTTGAGGAACTCTAGATGAAATTAAAGTCTCAGGAGACGTGTTTATATCGATCACAACACTTTGTGATCTATTTTTCAAAAATCTAGTTTTAAAATTTACATTTGGCTATTAAGAGTGAGTGGTTGTTGGTGTCAAACGCTTTAGAAAAATCTAAAAGAATTAAGGAAGTAGTTTGATGGTTATCCCAAGCCCTGACAATATTGTCAGTTAGATCTAACAATGCTGCAGCACTATTATAATCCTTCCTAAAACCACACTGTCTAGATGGTAGTATATAAATTTGAGATATGTTTTTTGGATGTTATGTGACATGTACTCGTACATCAGGAAAAACGATGTCACTGATTTCCGTCGGTCTGTCTGTCCGCTAATCTTATAACCGTCTATAACTTGAGAAGTCCCTCTCAGATTTCGATGAACTGTTACTACTGCAATGTTACTACAACGCCAAAGACGCAAAAGCCTTGTAGTTTTTGGAAACTGGTCCAGTGGCGCCGGGGAAAAGACCAAAACCGAAAAAAATAAAATTTGCTCAAACTTGACTTTTTGACGTTTTAGGCGGTTCTGAGCGTTTTCAGAAAAATGTTTGTAGGGTAAATGAAATGTTTTTGATGTCCGTATATTTATATGCTCCAAATCCCGGTTATTATATACACCTATTAGCCTTATTTCACACATCATAGATTTACCTGTACATTTGCCTTCAAAACTTAGAGTGATGCGATACCACGCAAATGTGGAAAGGGACACTTGGACGGTAACTACCAAAAGGGCAAGAAAATTATGCCTACAAGCTAATTGTATGGGCCTCTTTGACTGACTTAATATTTTTAATTTCTCTTTTGTACATGTGCCTAACTGACCTTTTTCTCAAAGGATTTAAATTGCGCTGAACTTGATCATTTATGGAACGACGACGGAGTTGCATAGAAAGTGCATTGACGCCATTTTATCTATATTGTAGCCAGTCGTTTATCTTTTATGTTGTACTTTTGCGTGAGATATATGCGTCATTGTCTATCCCACAATGTTTTTCCAGTGATACCTCTGACTACCGTTCTGTCAGACGTTTAGGTCCGCCCAGAATCTAATAGAGCAACTATAATAATATTGGAACATTTTATTTATTTGCCGAGATCTTTCCCTCTGTCACATGTTAACTCAGAGACGTATGTGAGATCTCACTAGAATCAAGGAAATGTTAAAATTTTTAAATTTTTAAATCAAACCTATCGAAAAAGAGCACTAAACTAGTTTGAAACTTATTCATCAGCAATCTAAAGAAATTTTAAGAAGTTAAGTAACGAAAAATAACTGTATCTGTATCTTGGACTTATTAAACACAGTAGTGTCATTATCTCGCACGACTCATTTAAAGTCGCTAATTCTGAATTATCTGTGAATATCGTACTTGGAAGAGGCACATGGCAAATAGTAACTGGCTAGAAAACATTATTCTTCTTGCTTGTCGGGACGTTGGTACTACGAATTATCAAACAATTAATGAATATTAATGAAATTACATGACATACATGTGTGCTCTTATCCTGGCTGCTGTAGATCAACAATGTATTTTGTCTAGGCGGTACTTTTGATATGTGTCTGATAATGAATATTAAGTATTTCATGGAATTGGGAGAACTGCTATAATCTGTCTGCAATTACAAACCTACTGGCCAACTTAATATATTTATAACACATGTCATTTTCTGAACAACGATAGGACTGCCAGGCATATAAATATGCAACGACACCACCGAAGGAAGCAGCTAGGCTTGGGAGGTCAAAAAAACTCTTCAAAAAATACCTCTATGCTTGTTACTAAGGAGGTTAAAGCTGAAAATATTCACTTGTGACAATCAACTGGGTCTCACTTCCATACCTTCACAATTTAACTTCACCATGTTTTGCCACTGTTCCGCATTTGAGTGCACGGGAGACACATGTGGTGGTGTCTTAGAAAGACGGCAGGTTTAAACCACCAAATGTTTGCTTGTCTTTACATGCTAGTTTCTAGAAATGAACTTTGCAATGTTTCCCACCCAGTCTTTATTGAATTTTATAACTTCAAAGCGGATATTCTTCTTAGGGCGCCGATATGACGAGGGAGAGCTATAAACACACATATTAGGCTTCTTAGACCTTTTGGTCTATTAGTAATATACCCGCTATTGAAAACTTTGTAACTTTCATTCTCAATATCCGGATGTCATTTTGAAAGCCATCAAAATTTCCAATAATTTGGAATCACATTGTTACACACATATAAATTAACGAATAAAGACGATTATTATTATTATTATTATTATTATTATCTTTGCCACGTGGCATTTTTATTCTCATTGGGGTAACTTCCCTCATCCCAGATGCATACGACATCAAAGGGTATGAGTTCTATCGCAGCTTGTTCCGTAAGAACGTTACTTTTCGGAATTCCCATGGACTTCCGAACTGTACGAGCAGTTGCCAATAAAACTCCTTTCTGCATCGTCTTATAAATATTGTGATTCAGCCCCATTTTCTTGAGACTCTCCAGCAGCGTTCTCGGGATTACTCCGGTTGATGACAGAATGATTGGGATGGTATCAACACTGTCCATCTTTCATTGTTGTTTGATTTGAAGTTCGAGCTCCCTATACTCCGCGATTTTTTCATTGTGCTTTGTATGTAAGTTGTTATTGTTTGGTATGGCGACGTCGATGAGGGTTGTTTTACTCATTTTCATTGACAATTATATCTGGTTTTTTATGTGTCGTGCGCTGGTCAGTGAGGACAGTGCGGTCCCAATATATGGTAGCTTACATTCGTTGTTTTCTAGAATGCTTTGCTGTGTGTATTTATAATAGGGTGTCATTTGATCTATCAGCTTGAATTTGTAAGCTAGTCCTTGATGTAAGATTTTGGCCGCTATGTCATGTCTTTCTTTATAATTTATCGCGGCGAACGCCTGACACCCTCCAGTCACGTGCTGAATAGTTTCAGAGTCTGGGCATCTGAATCTGCACGTATCGTTGTGTTGAGGAACTGTGAGCAGGTACTTTTGATAGTTATACGTTGGGATTTTCTCATCCTGTATACCCACAAGAAAGCCTTCACCCTCTGGAAACATTTGCCCAGAATCAAGCCACTTGTTGTTTCCCTTATGTCAACAGTCTCTTGGCTCAACTCGTGGACATGCCTTCCATGTAAAGGCTTTTCCATCCAACGTTGCATTTTTTCCTCATCAGTCTGTGGTGATAATTGAGATTCCATATCGCTAAGACTCAAGGGTGTTCTATTGTATGTAGCACATATGACACACATTATTGTTATTATTATTATTATTATTACTATTATTATATGTAAATAAATAATTCTAACAAATGGGTAGCGCCACCTGCCGCTAACATCAAGTTGTTATTATATTCATCAAAAGCATGTTTTCAGCATTTCATTTAGTCGTAATAGAAAGGGCGTCGTAATTTCCACAAAATAGATCAGGGCGGCATCATCACATTTATGGCCTCGTGCACTTATCAAAATCATTACGGACGGGTGTCCATTAATATTTTATGACCGCTTCCGCTACTGCAACCGGATATGCAGTTTTAATCGTACGTGATGCTAGCCGAACCATGGGATTACGTAAATGCATAGCTACCGGGATTTTATTTCCTCGTCGACTTGCCAGGATGCTCGCAAAAATAGCTGAGTTTGAAGAAATGAAGTTTTGGCATGGATTAATGTACTGTTTGAAGGCAACAAATCTAGACTAGGTAAAAGGTAGGAGGAGGAAGCCTTAATCTAATTGTCCACAAGGAGACTAAAATAAATATATTTCTCTGAGAGGAGTATCTGCTCCTAGCACATAAAGTAGATGCTTGTTCAAACAAGTCTGCACCGTGAGTATCTGCTTCTAACACATAAAGTAGATATTCGTTCAAACAAGTCTACACCGTGAAAAATAACAATAAACAAGGGCCGCGTTCTGCATATTCATGTATTAGTATAAATTCAAGTATATAGTCAACCAGCGTGCAATGAGAGAAAGTGAAGAAGAAACTGATAAAACCTGCGAATCCCAAATGGAATTTGTAAATATGCTACGAGATTTTCCCATACTTTTATCCAAGTCACAAACACCAGCTGTCCGACATTCGGGTCACGAATAACGACAAGTCAAATAAACACAAAAATTAATAATATGAAATCCAGACTCAATAAAAAGACTGACATAAACAGGACTGAAAATAAGAAAATTGTGCTGCAGGATTGGGAAAATATTTTGTTGGAAATCATGAAAGGCAACACAAATCCAGTACTTGCAAAAGTTTGAGGTAAAATATTCTTTATGAATAACTTTATTTAAATTAACATAATATTAGTGAACCTATCTAAAGTTTGCTATTATTTGTTGTTTTGTGAAAATTGAATGATTTAATAGTTGTGCTGTTTGTAGTAATTAATTACTTATTGATCAACATTTGATCGAATATTTTAGACAGACGTTTTCGTAGCTTAGAAATAAAAAAAGGTTACAATATTATCGATTACAGGTACGTCTTCTCGGTTTGTAATATTTTCTAGAACGTAAATTAAGAATGAACTCCAAAACTATGAAGCACATTCTTCTTCCGAGGAGCATGAACTTTTTATTCATAGGAAAACTGATAATGAACTCACAAAACATTGTATATAAGAGCACCTCCTACTCAAGTGGAGCATCTGCTCCCTATTTTTATTCATGTCACATGGTGTATTTTCTCCAAATTCTAGAGTACATACTAAATGTTCATTTTTATTCATAGGACCCATTGTTTCATGAGATTATCTCCACAATGATATAATACTTTTCGTAAGATTTTTATTTCCCGGAACAAAAATATCATGAAATAATCTCGTTGTGGATCTGCACCTTACGGTTTGCTCCTATCCAAAATATCAATATGTAATCAGGATGGAAGTGAATACTACTAGTGAACTTGACATAAGTTGATTTTTGGACAGTTCTGTTATTCAAGTCGTATTTTTTGTGTTGTATCTTAAAAGAGCGAGCGTTTGTGAATATTTGTGTGTTAGACCATTTTAGACTAGGTACTTCTTGCACAATTTGCAAAGGTAGACCTCTCCATCGTACTACTATTATGTTTATTCAACGTTGTCACTTTGGTAAAAATGTAATATAGACTTGGCTTCTTTTGAACTATTATAGCTCATTTATACTCGCAACGCTCGTGTCCATAGCGGTTTTATGGTCACGAATCAAAGGACCTCGCGACAAACGCATGCCTCGTGTTTACATTCGCGCTCTCGCTTGATTCGGGTTTCAAACGTTGTGCCGTACAGGCGGTTTCTAGAATAATTTCAAAAGGAACTGATAATTTGGAAACCCAAACATAAATTCCACAAAAATAACAAAAGTAGACAATGCATGGACGAAATTATCTCAAGACATGTATAGACCTCCGACCAAACTAACAAATAAGAAAAATTCAATCAATCAATCACCTCTGGCGCTGATGAGATATATTTACAAGCCAGTGTGGGTGTATTACGGTGTTATGGAAGCATTTTTTAGCCTTTTTTTATTTTTCTTTTATTTAAATTAATCGTGTAATCAGCAAGCAAAGACTTGTTGCCGCTAACACTTCGACGTCCTCCATTGTTTCTAGCTCAAAGAGAACTGAACTGTCCACGAGAGTGTAAACAGGAAGCTCATTCAGCATCGATCAAGCGAGAAGCAGACCGAGACACGAGGCGAAGCACGAGGCGAGGTACGAAGCGAGAGTGTAAACTACGTATCAGAATTCGTTGGTTTAAAGCGATAAAAAAGGTGACAGTTACGTATTGCTTCTATCACTAGTGACACGGAAAAATCGCCAGTCACTGGTAGCTATACAGATAAATTAGCCACAACAATTCTCATACTCAAAGAAGTAGCCAAATCATGGTCAGCACTTTGTTTCAGTATTACTAGTGCTTTATCAACTGTACATTAGTGAAAAGACCTTTTATATAAAAACTTACCACTATGAAATTATTGTCAGTTGGATGTTGGATATTTAAAAAAAAAAGTGTTGGCCGTCTTTTTTGTTATATAGGACTCTGTTTTGTATTCTAATGGATTTGTAATAGCTAACAAGTGTTTACTGCTAATGGAAATACAGACACACAAAAAAACAATATAAAACATACCGTCACTACGGTAACTGCTACAGCGGTGAAGCATCATGCGGTTAAATGTAGAATAATATAACATAAAGGCTATATAACAAATGGAGAAGCCACAAAATCGGCATTAAGCAAACATGTATGGGAAACAGATGTCTCAATACTACATACAGATGATAATAAATACAAAGGGAAGGACTGTGACCAAATTTGATTGAATATCCTTGAAAGAACGATCAAGTTGATATTCCCTGGTAGCGTGTAAGTTTTTTAGCCAGGTTCTGTTTTGTGAGTGCAAGGTCAAACTGTTGTGTCTTTAATTATATTCTCACATAACAAACAACATGGTTCCCGATAGATATCGAAGTAGTATTTCTCTCGTTTTAGATCCAAAACACTTGCAGCTTACTTGTAATAATTAAACGGTGACGACAACAGTTCTGGGTGGGCTTATACGTTCGTTGGAGGCTTTTGGCGTCCTTGGGACGATGTCCAAGGGTGTCGTGTCGTTTTAAAAAGCTAGATAGCCTCATGCTAGCTCGTCGTTTTGGAGAGCTGGACGTTCTTTTTTCAGACTAATCTAGAAACATACTGTTTAGAAATGTGTTATCACCTGGAAAACAGATAAATAAAATATATTGTCCTTATACTTAATGATTGAAACTTTTACAGTAAAGAAGATACCGTCAATACATTGGCCAGATAACCATGGGGAATTCTTTTACTTATGAGTTGTCTAAAAATAGGCCCATGTAATATGGAGGGAATTCAAATATAGTGACACTGGGTAACTCAGAAACTAGCCAAGAGGCAATTCCTTCGAAATCTATTTTCCATGAGATTGATGGCATGCTTAGGGTCATTGAACATTTTTGTAAAACAGTTTGCATGACCCTGATAAAAAAAGACAGCAAAAGAAATTTTTCGATGCATCCTGCATGCGAATTCTAATCAGAAATTAACATGGGCAACTGCACTTCAAGCTTTGAGGTAGCGATACTATATCACGCATCTTCTACTTATACTGGCCAGTTGTCAGTACTGTTCAACCATTCATGTGCTTTTCATCTGCAAGGCCTCACCTCTATCCAATCATTCAGTTCAACCAGATAAATGTTTTACGGAACCCCAACAGAGTCTATTCTAATTAGTATGTGACAGCAATGGTATTAATTGTCATGAAATCCTGACCAAACGGCCATGAACGGACCATTTGCGGCATTATGTAGATTAGATCCGACGTCCGCAATCGGCATAATGAATTCTGTCGAAGGGCCGAATCCCTTTTGGCGAATCTTCGCAGATCATCCCTCAAAGCAACTAATAATGGATAGATGCGGGCAGAGCAACCTACTCGACCGTGTTTAGCCTACAGTACAGGAAAACATGCAATGAAGGTGATATTAGAATCATAAGGGTTGAGCAGAATTGTATCTGTTAGGGTTAATGGTCATTTTGTTCAATAGCAAACTGGGGTTTTGCTCATATTTAGACTGCCGAACTGCTGCCTGTCATCAGTAAGGTGCACGAACCGGCAGCTGAAATATCCAGGCACTAGCACATGACTAGCAGCAGCAAGTACGGTTTCCTATGCCTGGAATCAACGCCAGCTACGAGCCCCTTCCCACTTCAGTTGGCCCAACCATTGCAATATTAGTTTTTTTCTTATCAAACACAAATAATAAAAATGTAGCAGGGTGTTTTATGTTTAAAATATTAACAATGAATATCTTGATAATATATACTAGAAAACACCAACTTTATTACTCCCTAATCAAATTTGCAGCATAAAAATAACACATTTTGCAATTACAGCATATTAAAATATTTTCATTTCAATGCAAAATAAGTCTATAATGCATAGGTGGCTGTGAAAAATTAATAAAAGCCATGACAATTGTTTTTATTAATCACAGCTGTCAGAATATGTTTAAAATAGTTTTGGGTAGTTAAGGTTTTCAAAATGGGTAGAGAAAAGGTTATTAGTGAGAAAATTCGGTTACTGATAATTAAGTTTTTTAATTCTGGGAAATCAAACTCAGAAATTGGAACTTTGTTAGACTTATCGCAGTACAGTGTGAGAAATATTGTTAGAAGATATAACGTAACTGGTTCAGTTAATATTAAGCCACGATATGTGAAAAAAAGTAATATCACAAATGCCGACCGGCATCCGGCCAAGATTTTGTGTTTCAGCAAGATGGTGCAGCGTGCCATACCTCAAAAAGGCTATAAAATGGATGGAAGAAAATAATGTACCACTTTTGAAATGAGTTTCTAGCAGTCCAGATCTTTAACCTATTGAAACTTTGTGGCACGAGATGAAAAAGGTTCTACGACAACATCCTGCTCGTACAATCACCGAACTGAGACAAAAGCTTCAAGAAATATGGGATTGTTTTACACCACATTTTTCCAAAACTTGGTTAACACTATGCCCCAAAGAATTTCAGCCGTAATAAAAAGTAAAGGTGATGTTACCCAATGGTAATCTTTCAATTGTTGCTTTGTTAACTTCGCGCATTCATTCGCATATTGCTTATTTGTTCAGATGTTCTATTAGTTATAGGTCTACGTGATTTCAAATATGTATTTTTTACGACTAGAGTGTATCTTAAATGTTTTTGAGAAAATAAATTGTTTTAGAAGTAAATAGTGTCGTCATATTTAGTTTATAAAGACATATTTTGGTACAAATCTTGAAGTGGGCCAACTGAAGTGGAAGGTGCTCGTTCCTAGAATAAGCTTGTACGATGCTCGAAGATCAAAACAAGTGCTGGGTATAATAGTTTCGCTGATGATTGAGGAATCAGTTAGCCTAGGAATATGGGTATATGCTATAGGACTGTATGCCAGAATGATCGCTGAATTAGAATTGATGTACAGGTTTCAGGTAGTTGAGTCACGCGTTGTTACAAGTTCAAAATTTATTACCTCTAATACAGCCAGAAATTGTACTTATTTTGTGCAAGTCGTACATATCATTTTTTTTGTAAGGAGAAAAGTTTCTCAGAAAAGAAAGGTTTATACTGTTACCTGTATCTGTTATCTCAAGCCAAAACAGAGACAACTAATATCTAATAGATCTGCTGATATAGATGAATTCCTTTAGAAAACCACTTATTTGAGAATGTCTTATGTACCTGCAACTCTGTTCTTATGATTTCCATCTAGGTTTAAGAAATTGTAGCTAGAAATAATATGCTGTATATCCTTTTCAGTGGTTTTATTGATTTAGTTATTGACATTTTATGGTGCATTCTGCATTTTGCATTCAAGGTATAAACAGTATTCTCTGGATTCCACCTGGTGAACCTGCCCTAGTGAACCTGAAACAAAACTAAATAAGTAGCAGATACTTAACTCACTATTGTAATCAAATTACTTGTTTCCTTTGATAAATCGGTGCCTAAAGCAAAACTAGTCATTGTTTATAATTTTACAACCTATGTAGCAATGAATTTTGTAGACAGGTGTCAAGTCGGCTGTCACTGTCAAAGGTGAAAATAGCATGCCAACTGGCGTGGAACTGTCAGGCGCGAGGCGGGCGCAACAAGTAAGGAAAAAAAGATCGCTATTGCAATTTTTCGGATTCGAACAGAGCGGCTGTTTCGCAAGTGCGTATTTAGTTCGGAAAAATAGCTGGAAAAAAAGGAAAATCTTCACAATTTCAATTGCTGTAGGCGTTCACACCACTAGTATTGTGGGATCCCTAAGATTGGAAGATTTCCCTCCACTTTAAACGCCACCCTACACCCTAGGTAGGTAGCTTACCATTTTATTGCTGCCTTTGGCTTTTGCTTGAAGCACTCGTGTAGTGCCTGATTAATTGCTTTGTAGTACATGTAGCTTATGCTTGACTTTTGTCCACAGGCCTCTTGTTCTTTTCTCTTTTTCTCTGTTTATTCCTCCCTTCTTCCTGTACGTTTTCTTCTGCATTCTTCGTACATAACTGAGACCAGGATTTGACCAGAACTACCTGCTGCATCGAACCTAGCATCGCTTGAAACCTTAACGTTGTACCGCTTTGGCTGGCTTTCTGCTACATTCCTACACATTACCATATGAGGACTGGTCAACACCACCAAGGGACCTCCAACAGGTTATTCCAGAGATTACAGGTCAGACTAGACTATAAGGTTTATATAAGACTTCAGGTCCCTTGGACAAGTGAAATATAGAGTACCAGATTTGTTCGCTGTAAGATTATCCACTAGCTAAGATCACTTTGTATATGTTTCACCTTTCAGTACGCATACTTACCTAGCAGTAGATCACGCCACTTTGCCCATTAAATTGTGTAATATTAGACCTAGCATATCTGAAGGCAAGTGCACGACTTCTTGTGTTTCGTGGGATTCTTTTACATTGAATACGGCACTGTCTTTGCAGGAAATATATATTGTTTCAATCTGAACTTTGTAATTTCGTCCATTGTTTACAATTTCTACAGACAATTCGACAGATTGACAATTTGACACTGTGAAAGCACGGATCTCCATATAGAACTGGACTCCCTGACGCCACTACCTGGGATTGTAAAGTAGTAGTACTTTTTTACAGTACAGATATAGATATTCGTAAATCGTAAACTAGGGTGACGACTGATCACCGTCGATCGTCGTCCCCGTCTCCCAGCACCCATAACAGCGTAATTAGCGTGACTCCTTATATTGTTTATCAAAATTCGTGGAGAACTACAAAGAAACTATTAGTAACATAGAAGATGGAGATAAGGCCCGCGTCTCATATATATGTAGATACCAGGATAGACAGATCTTATCAGAAACTAAATACCCGACATTCTTACCAAGAGTGGAACTAGTACACCCTTCATACGGCCAGAGCCAGCGATCGCGTAAAATAAAGCTTACCAAATCATCTCTGTAGAGATGGATGGAACCATAACAGTTTTAACAAAGAAGGTATTCGACACTATTGCGACTAATGGAACGGTTAAGTATGTTTTGTGCAGACGCTTTGCAATTGCCAAAATTAGGGACAATACACTTAGCGTGTTGATTCAAATGAAAGCCCTAATAGATATTTTTTAAATTAAGCCAGTCGACTTCCTCAGTAAGACGGAGCTACTGAGGAAAACAAACAGATGTGAGCCACCATAGGCGAATGAGTCGCAGTAGAGAATCGCGATTGACCTGCGCCCAGAAACCTAACCTTAACCTAAGCAATAGCCAACCGGAGAAGCCAACGCCTTTAGATGTTACAGAGGTTTCTGATCATCAGTAACTTGCTACTTCCATGCACAAATGCCTAGGAAAGCTTGGAGGCTTTCTCTGGCCAAGTCGAAGAGTAAAAGACGGATAATAACTTCCTTTCTGATAGAAGACGATAATACTGACTTCAACACTATATCGCAATCCTTTTAAAAACAAGCAATGCTCAGACTCCAACAAGTGGTAGTTGAGGAAGATCTCTGGACAAGGCTTCGCACAACTTCTCATATAGGTCTCTGGGAAGGTGCTTCTCCACAGTCATAAGATAATTTTGCAGGAGAGCATGTTTTGATTGAGATACCACCAAGAAGCTAACCTTTGTGATCATTGATCTTAGGTACGAATAGTTGGTAACGAGAACTTAATCACCAACACTTTAATTGAACAAAAGATTTAGTGATTCCTCGAAGATCTCTGATATCTTCAAATTTGGTTGGATTTTCTCGGTTCTCAATATATCCCCACCGAAAAGAGATCGTAGGGTCTACTCAAATATATTTTATAAAATTAGTCTATCATGGACCATACGGATGAGCCGCGTATGCGCAAATAGGTTGCATATCGGGCTTTCGAATCTCTTTGGATTGTGGAATATCTTTGTACCCTTGTGCCTCATATATCTTCCCCGTTGGATAAAAAATCTCGTTGGATTGCCCGTACCTCTTTCCACTGGCATAGAATATCTTATTCTCGTATTCTCCTTGAGTTGCGTCGGATCTATTTGGATTACCTCGAATCCTCTTGAACTTCCTCTAAACCTCGGATATCCTATGGTGGCGTCGAGCTCACCAAAACTTTTCAAAGTTCAAGTTTTTGTATAAGTCACCAAATACGTGAAGTTTAGCAACCCTCAACTCAATCAACAATAACAATTTTGCCTCATATACGGTCCTATTCGTAATGAACAATGAATAATATTGCAGGCGGCTCTGATGGTGGTCTCAGTTGCCACAATTTCGTTCCCGAACCGAAATCCGGTTGGAGATTGAATAGTGTGCCATAGGAGAGGATGGACCTGCACGGAGATGAAGCGGTATCGGGCCAATCGGTCAATTTGAATTCTAATATGGTTCACCGATAACCAAAGGGCAGCTATTAGGAGTAGTTACTGATCATAACCATAATACCCGATCCAATATTAAAATTTACTGTATGTAAGAAGATGCTGCCTTCCGATCTTTTGCTTACTGAATACTTAGATAAACAGTAGAACAGTGACGTTAAATAAAACGTATATCAGGAATAATAAGCAATGAACATCTCCACTGAAGCCTTTAAGGCAAATTTCTATGTCTGTTCACCTCATAGGTAAATATGAGATGCACTCACCCACTCAGGCGGCTTAACTGCAAACTGTCGCATCCGTGTGTATAGCGTATACAATTATGTACAGTGAAATACTTGCCTGTATAGGTTTGTTCCACTACAAATCTTACGTTATGGATTATCTGGGTTTCCAATACCCAATATTATTAAAGGGTTAGTTACAATTATAATCTGGGTCACTGATACCCAGAAACAGCTTTGAGAAAAGAGGAGTCTAGCAGGTTGGTCTAGTATTCTGGAAAACTAGGCGAAATGTCACTATTATTATCCATTAGATATATAGGGGTTAAACGTTGTGGTAGTCATTATTGAAATGGGTAGTAGGGGGGTCAAAACAAGTCAAAAAGATCATATGACCCATGGTCCAAGGGTCAATAGATTTTTGTCTAAATGGCTTTATCGTTTACATATTTAAGTGCTTTATATGGACCACAATCACCACAATCTTAGATATTTTTATAATCTAATCTGAAACGTTTTTAAACTGGGTAATAAACAAATAAATAGCATTAAGTTTTCCTAAGTTGAGCCAAATTTTGTACTCAGTAAGTAAGTTTCATTAAATTAAATATTTGAAACAGACATGACAACAGCGCGTCGGTCATTCATCACTCTTATCGAACCGGCAATAGATCGCAAACGGTAACAGTGGTTAGTTATTGATTGCGTACCCTACCATGTACAACGAGTGCAGGTCTTGTTACCAGAAGACCATCCTCGCAGACTACCATTCTGTCAGTGGTTTTTGCACAAAAACATTGAAAATCCAGATTTTCTTAAAAACATTCTAGCGACGAACGAATGTACCTCATACCATTCATGATGATAATTTCCACAAACGTTTTAAAATAAATCTTTGGGCGGGTATTGTTGACGATCAGGTAATCGGCCCTTTCGAGTTACCCCCAAAGTTGTCAGGAGAAGGATTTCTTAGCTTTCTATCCAATAA